TATGCCTGGCCTGAGGGTCTCATCATGGCTGCTTTTACAATCACAACATGGCATCTGCCCCAAAGGTCACGGCACCGTGTATGCGCGCCCAGGAGCCGGGATGGGGCCTTGACTTTTAATCTTAGACGTGGCTTTTCTAGAACGACCTGGCAAGCCCTAAAGATAAACCATTTTCTATTTCTCTTATATCAGCTCCGCTTTTTTCAGATATGAGTTAGCTCAGGGACCAGGATCTGGGAAAGGAGCCCTCTTGCCTAACCTTAAATGCATAACGAACAGGGACTGTGCCAGGACTCACTGTGAAGTGAAGTGGGAGTGATTTCACAGGAAATGGGGTGGGTGCCCTGGGGCTCCTGTCAGGTCCAGGACCTGGGACTGGGAGTGGGCTGGGCGTGTGAGCCGGGCCCCAAGCCGTGGACATTGGCTCCTGCTTCCTCTAAGGTTTATATTTTGGCATCTGCTTGAAAGCAGTTCTTTATCCTCTGACTACATTGTCACAGTTTGGGGGAAAAAAGAAATAAAACAGGCAACTTTTGTTTCAGTCTGTTTTTCTGCTGCTTCTTACTGCTGCTTTGTTTTCACAGTGGGTGGGATGCACAGGGACCCCCAACTCCAATCTCGACGTGCCTGAGGGGGCTTTGTGGGAGGCTTCTGCCAACCCGGGCCCTGGAAGGTTTGGCAAAACCACCAGGAAGTCCCGGCAATCTGGGCAAGCCCAGTGCTTCCAAGGAAAGAGAAGTGTCGGAGACTTTCTAATGAGTTTATTTCCAGATGCTCAGCTGTGTTCTTGCCAGTACTATTATTACACTTTCAGAAAATAGTATTTTTTCCATCTAATAAAATTGATGAAGACTTGTTCAACAGATAAAAAGCATGGTCAACACATGTTGGAATATTATTCAGTTTTAAAAGGGAAGGAAGTTTGGACACATGCTACAACCTTGAGGACATGGGGCTCCATGAAATAAGATGGACACGAACAGTAAACCCCGTGTGATTCTACTTTTAGGGGGTCCCTAGAAGAGTCAGATTCACAGAGGCAGGAAGCATAGTGTGGGTGCCAGGGGCTAGGCAGGGAGGATGGGGGAGTCAGTGCTGAATGGAGACAGTGTCTCGATGGAGATGAAAGAGCTGGAGATCAGTTTCACAACAATGTGAATATAGGTGCTCCTCGACTTACCATGGGTCAGCATCCCCATAAAGCCGTCTTAAGTTGAAAATACTGTATATTGAAAATATTTTGTGAAAAATGCATTTAATACTTGTACTGACTCAACATCATAGCTTAGCTTAGCCCACCTTAAATGCACTCAGAACACTTACATCAGCCTACAGCTGGGCAGAGGTAACTTACACACGGCCCAGTGACACTAAACTGTTGAACAGCTCATGTCATTTATTGAGTATCGCATGAAAGCGAGAAAGACCGGTTGCATGCACACTTGAAGCGCCGTTTCTACCAAATGTGTTTTGCTCTTGCACCATCGCAAAATCTGAAAATTATAAGTCGGGGTCCATCTGTATACCTAACACTACTGAACCATATACCTCAAGATGGGTGAGATGGTCAATTCCATGCCATATGTTAATATTTTACCACAACTGCAAAAACAGAACAGAACAAAACCCAGGTCCGCCGTGCTCAGGCCTGGACAACCCCTTTTCCCCTCTGCCACTGCCCTGAGTTTTCCTTTGCTGCACAAACAGGGGTGCTGGTCACCAGGAAAGCATACCCTTGTGACATACAGGGAGGTCCCCTTTTCTACTCGGGGGTCACCAAAGTCAGCAGTTCAGAGTTCTGACGGCGCCTTTCCGTAACATGGAGGAGTGTCAACATTTCTGGTAGCTCTGCCAGCCCACGGCAAGGCTCTAGCAGGAGCTGCCCCTGGCACACTGATGTCTCCACCCCCATATCCCGAACGTGAATACTGATGCCCAGGGCTGGAGCCGGAGGCCTTTCCCATCAAGCTGTGGCCCTGCAGGCTGGGTGGGGCACAGGCGGCTGGAGTCATTTCCATCATACCTGGACTTCTGTGGGCCCTTCAGGGACCTGGGATCCTGAAAGAGGAGCCTGCTGAGCTCTGGGGCAAGGGTGGGTGGCAACCAGGTGGGAGTGAAGTAGAGGCGTGCAGCTTTTCAGAGAAAGGAGCTTCTGGCATTGCAAATGATCCGACTAACGTGAGCCTGTAAGCTGTGATTTTACTCACTAATGTGGCCTGTGCCCCAAGATTCCATCAGCCTGTGCCCCGAGATTCCATCTGCCTGTACCCCAGGATTCCATCGGCCTGTGCCCCAGGATTCCGTCGGCCTGCGCCCCAGGATTCCGTCAGCCTGCGCCCCAGGATTCTGTCAGCCTGCGCCCAGGATTCCGTCTGCCTGCGCCCCAGGATTCCGTCGGCCTGCGCCCCGAGATTCCATCAGCCGGTGCCTCAATTCCATCAGCCTGCGCCCCGAGTTTCCATCAACCTGCGCCCCGAGATTCCATCATTCTTTGCCCTGAGATTCCATCAGCCTGCACCCCAAGATTCCATCTATCTGTGCCCCGAGATTCCATCGGCCTGTGCCCCAGAATTCCATCAACCTGCCCCCAAGATTCCATCAGCCAGCACCCCAGTATTTCATTAGCCTGTGCCCCAAGATTCTATCAGTCTGTGCCCCAAGTTCCATCAGCCTGCACCCCAGGTAGTGCCCCAAGATTCCATCAGCTGGTACCCCAAGATTCCATCAACCCGCCCCAAAATTCCATCAGCCTGCCCCCAGTATTCCATTAGCCTCTACCCCAATATTTCATCAGCTTGTTGAGGCCAGCGCATGCATTTGAACACGTTCTCCACTCTCTGCCGTGGACCCTGGGGAAGAGGTTCCCCTTTGGAGAAAAGAAACAGGGAAGGGCAGAAATTGAGGTGAGGCTGGTAAGAGAGTGAACAGAGGTGTGTGGGTGAGGTCCTAGCAGCAGAAACGCGTGCTGGGCATTTGGGAAGGGGCGATGTGGGGCTGGGTCCTGCTTCCCACCTCAGTGGCTCCTGAGCTCTCAGCCCTCCCCCATGGAACAGGCGTCGGGACAGAGCTCTTGGTGGCAGCTGTCCTCCTGACCCTAACATGCAATTCACCCAGAGGCTGGGCAGTGGGAGGGAATGGCACCCATCTGGCACCTGGTGTTTGCTGCTTAAGTCAACTGGGCAAAGTCTCAGCGGGAAAGCAGGAACGCTAACGCAGCAGGCTCTGCAGAGGCAGCCGGGCACCAGCGCCGTCCACCGGAGAGCAGAAACGCTCACTCGAGAGGATGGAATTGCTTTTGTTTGTGTCAGATTAGCAAAACATAAAGCCCTTCCTCATAGGCCAGATGGGCAGGGTTTTTAATGTTTTTAAATATTTTATTAGTGGCAAAAGATTTGGGAAAGTAGTTAGTTTTTGGAGGGCATTTTGGCAGGATCTGTCAACGTTTTAAAGTTAGCATTCTTGTTTCCAGGAGCAGACCCTGAAGGTCTGGTTGCATAAGGACGTGGAGTTGTGTGCGGGAGGAAGCCCATGTGGAGTTCTTCCTAACAATCCAACCTGGACAGGATACCGGGTGCACGCACAGAAGCAGGCTCGCTGCGGAGGGGGAGGCGGCTCCGTGACACTGTGGGGCTCTGCGCACCTAACGGGGAATGCCCCACCTGTTGAGCCCTGGGTGGTCCTGGTGAGCAGCCCATGCCCTGTCCTTACGCAGGGTTCAGGGAGACACTGAGGCCTGTATGTAAACAGGGGTGCTATTCAGCTCCAGAGAAGACAGGACTGCCTGCTTTTGAGAAGGGAGTTGAGAGATGAGGTTGGGGAAAGGACACTCAATTTTTTTCTCTTTTTTTCAATGAGAGGAGTCTCGCTCTGTTCCCCAGGCTGCAGTACAATGGCAGGGTCTCTACTCACTGCAACCTCTGCCTCCTAGGTTCAGGCGATTCTCCTGCCTCAGCTTCCTGAATAGCTGGGACTGCAGGTGCACGCCCGGCTAACTTTTGTATTTTTAGTCGAGAGAGGGCTTCACCATGTTGGCCAGGCTGGTCTCCAACCCCTGACCTCAGGTGATCCGGCTGCCTTGGCCTCCCAAAATGCTGGGATTATAGGTGTGAGCCACTGCGCCCAGCCAATTTTTCTGTTTAAACCCATTTATATTGTTTATATTGTTTGAATTTTGTACCTGAACAGGAATTTCTTTAATAATTAAAAAAAAAATCTTCCTTAACATTTTTCAGGGGTCAGAGTCACCTCACATTTGTTCATTCTGTGATTGAGACGATTTGAGGCGCACGTGTGGTTTTCATAGAAAGTGGCATATAGGGCAGCAGAAAGGAGGCCATCGTGAACCTCCCTGAAGGGCTTGGCCTTCGCATGGTACGTGTGATGCCTGAACCTGCCCCTCCGCCTCTTCAAGGACGCCGAGGGACGCCCAGTAGAATGGGTGCCGTCAGCCTTGGAGACCCGTCCCAACCCGGGTCCCCTCTCCCTGTGGAGGCCCCAACTGCACAGAACCAGCCTCTTCTGAGACACTGTAACTGCACTGACTTCTTTTTAAATGAAGCAAATAAAACTGAATGAGGTTGACTGGATCTTTTGGAAATTTTCTCATGCACCATTGGCGCAGGCATTTACTAGGAGGCCACCGTGCCAAATGCCATCCTCTTTCCCCCAGAGAGGCCTGCATGCGGATTTCGGGTGAGATAAATAACTAATGATAATCCATGTGTGTGTCTGAAATGAAAATCTACGTCTTACTGTGGATTCTAATATAAAAAGTGGAAAGCTATTGTGAAATCTACAGGTGGGGTTGAAGGAGTCTGTGCTCCTTAATGGAAGTTTAAGGTGTGTAAACGCTCTCCCCAAACCTTCGCATTGCCTTGGGTTGGTCTGATAGTTTCCAGGCTTTTCTGTCTACACTCAGTGATGGGAGAAGCTGACACCTGCTGCTGTGGTAAGCAGCCGTGCCAGCACCACCCCAGCCGGGGGCGCGGACGCGACCTCACCTGCGGTGTGTGAGGAAGCTCCCGCTGACGTGGCCTGAGCCGTCGCACCCTGGCGTGGGGCAGGACATGCCTTCCGTCTTGACCGACTTCCAGGAGAACTGGGAGCCATTCAGGTACCCATCCTTCTGCCTCTTGGCCGCCAATGGGCACCCGGAGGCACTGCGGTGGGATGCGTACTTGCCGGTGATGTGGCCCTGGCCGTCGCACCCGGGGACGGGACACCTGCAGGGCAGCAGAGGGGACACACGTGACTGTCTGGCCACTGTCGGCTGGTGGACGCTGTAACAAAGTCGGAATAACCCAGCATGAAGGAAGAAAGAACAACCATGCTCTCCTGGCTGGGCAAAAGGAAAAGAAAAAAGAAAGAAAAATCACTAAAAGACACCACCACCTAGTGGCAGGCTGAACTATTTCACCTGCGCAGAAGGCCTGAGCCGCTGTGGACAGAAGGAATTTTCTGGAGCAAAGTGAACATGAGGAGAGAGGAGTGAGGGGTCCAGCGCGCAGAAGAGCATGCAGGCACGTGCAGCCTCACAAGCGTGGGCTTAGGAGACACCGCTTTGGGACAGAACTGTGGCTTTTCGGGTGGAAAAAATGCGAAGTCAATAAGATGTGGTGGGATTATTTTTAAAGAGGCTATTTTGTGCTTTTCCCAGGAGCTAGAAAACGTTTATTGTGTCTGGCTGTGTCTTCTGGAGGCCTTAACATTCCCTTCCAGCTGGAGCAGACCCTGAGCTGCAGAGACGTCTCCTGAAGGCTCCTGGAGTCGGGCTGGCACAGGGACACGGTGACGGTGTCTTCCTGGAACTCGTGCCCGGCGGGACCAAGACACACAGCAGGGCGGCAATGCGCCTGGAGGAGGCAGGACTGGCCCAAGTGCGTCCCTTGTGTGCCGAGCGCTCAGTCGCTTGCATTGTTTTTATTAACAGGAAAGTTCGCCTTCCCCAGAGTTTGCATTACCTATTTATTTTCACAAATCTTAATTTATTTGAATATGCTTTATTTTTATTTTGTTTTAATTAAATTTTTTTTCCGAAGATGTGGAGTAAGGTTGCTTACTGTGTGGGGTTTGAGGCCCAGGCATGGCTGGCGTGGGGTGGGGACAAACACCCCCTTGGGCAGCCGGTAGTTGTCACAGACCTCAAGCCTAGTGTCCGCTGTGGCCTCACGCTCTGCCTTAGAGCAAGACAAGGTTAAACTAAACTTTTTTACAGGCCAGAACACCAGTGAAAATCCACTTGTGGTGGTGTACTTAGTACCTTCAGGAGCATTCACCAATCTGCCATTCCCAAGAATTCAGCTGCTTTTCCCACCAAGAGGAGAGGGTAGTTGTCTTCGGGGGGGTGGGATTTGGGTTCCATGGAACCTCAGATGGATGGATATCAGCTTATTGCTGGACAGCCCCTGTAACTTTTCAGCCAACCAGCAGATGTGCTTTGGTTTGGGTGTCAGTAATCTGACCTTGCATTTGTTGAAATCTCAAAGAGTGCACACTAAGACCCACTGTCTCTTTTTCTGATTGATGTGCACTTGCTGTGCTTGAATGCCGCGTCCCCACATGGCAACCCTGCCTCGGTCCTCAGCCCCACTGGTGCTCTTACCTGATGGGCTCTTGATCTTCCTTATCTTCTTTGCTCTGTGCTATCCTGATACCGCTTTTCTTTGCTCTCGGGCAACCTGAAAGGCTAAATAAGAAACACGTTTCAGAAAGCACCCCACACCGTTGATTCCAGCTGCCTTCTTCACAACCGACCAGGCTGTGACCCGATTCTCCCCAGAAACCTGTGCTTCTGGGTACCCAGTGAAAATTCACGGAGGAGCGTTCTTTCTCTGAGTTCTCTCCAAGGCTTGAGGCACCATCAGTCCCCTTTCAAGACATTTAGGAGACTGGGGTGGTCTAGGATGCTGTGAACCAGAGAGAACCTGGCCCCCGGGAGGGGCAGAAGCAGTCAGAGTCACCAGGAAAGATGCTGGGGAGGTTTTGTTGAGGGCGAGCATGAGCACATGGATGCATGCACGCCGCTGGTGAACATGACAAAGGAAACAGCCTCCAGCCTCGTCCTTGGTGACTCTGTCTCTCCAGCAGCTTCCCAGGCACTTCCATCGCAGGTCGGGGCTGGGAGACAGTGACTTATTCCAGACTTCGGGTCGTGCTGCGGGAGGTGGACTGAGAGCTGAACATGCTTATTTTATTTAATTTTCAATCTTTTGGGCACAGAGGCTTTGGGCATGTTTCTAGAGGAATTTTTTGAGCTGGAACAGAGAAGTACATACACATACACACTACACACAAGACTATATAAAATAAATGGGAATTTTGGAAAAGAAATGAAGAACCAGAAATTAGGCAATCTCCTGCAGTGTCGCTGGGTCCTGTGGAAGTTACAGCCCTGGTGCCGGCCACGGGTGGGTCCAGGTAGTAGGCCACTGTTCTTCCTGCCTTTCCTGAGCTTGGGGGTAGTTTTTCTGGTCAGCTCTGATTCTTGGAAACATGCGGATTCCCAGGAGGAAGTGCACACTCCCCTAAAGGAAGGCTCCGTCTGGCCTCTCAAGCCTTGGCGGTCCTCCTCCCTCTTCAGGTGGGGGCAGCGCCTGAGCACAGGCAGGTGTCCGACGGTTTGGGTTTGGGCTTGGGCAGGAAAGGGGTTGTCAGGCCCCACAGCGCCTTCACTCCCAGCCCCTCCGCTGCCCCACCTCCTGGTGCCCACAGGGAGTATCTCTGCTCCTTCCCCAACTCTTTCACAGGAAGAGGAAAGAAGAGGAAACAAGAGGTCAGGCCAGGGCGCCTGAGCTTGCTCCCTGCGGGGGCCTTTCTTCTCTCTGCCCTCTTACAGGAGGGAATCTGGGACGAGGGGCCCACCTGTGCTTTCCCAACCCTTCCCTGCTCCTCCCCAGCCTCCTCTGCCCCTGCCCCAGCCTCTGGCTCCCGACCTCCTGTAGATTACTGGGGCTCTGTGGCCAGTGTGGGGTGACTTCAGGGCCAGGCCTGCACCCCACTGACTGCTGCACAACTGCTTGGAGATCCCATGATTAGACTCATTGCCCACATCATCAACCCAAAGCGCCAGGCCAGCAGACTGTGTCCTCGCCCTTGTGCTGGGTTTTGCTCCCCGAAGTTTCCATGGATGATGTCACACCCAAGGCCTCTCCTTGTCTGTCTGTCCGTCCACCTTCTCTCCCAGGCAGTGCTAAAACAGGCCGGCCCTGGCTGGGAACGCCTCCAGGCCAGCTCTTTAGCGTCACCCAGGGCTCTTCACTTCCTCGGTGGGTGGCCCAAGTTCCTCCATGTGGCTCCTTGGCTCCTCGAGGCCTGGCCCCGCTGCCACGCAGGCCCCTCTCCGGCCACAGCCCCTCCGTCCTTGCTGGCTCTCCCTGCAAGCCTTGCTGCCATCCTCTAGACTGACCGATGTCCCTGCCTTGTCTGTGGCTCGCTCCCAGCTGTGTGGCCTCTGTCTGCCTCTGCATCCTGCAAGAGGCCTGGGCCTGGCTGTTCTCACAGTGTGGCCACTGCAGGGCTCACACAGTTCTAACCTCTTCAGGGTCTTCTGAGAGGGGGTTCCTGGGAGTATAAACCATGCGAGTGTTCATCCACGGTTCCCCAGTTCCTAGCCCAATGCCTTGCACGGAGCAGGTGAATCAATACATGAATGAAGGAAAGAGGAACCAAGGGGACAATTATGGTATACTACCCAGAGAGAAATACTACTGTGTCCTACCCAGGGAGAATTATGGTATCCTGCCCAGGGAGAATTAAGGTGTCCTACTCAGGGAGAATTATCATGTCCTACCCACGAAGAATTACTATAGTGTCCATACCCAGGGAGAATTACGGTATTCTACCCAGGGAGAATTATGGTATCCTATCCAGGGAGAATTACAGTATTCTACCCAGGGAGAATTGCTGTAGTGTCCTACCCAGGAAGAATTATGGTATCCTACTCAGAGAGAATTACCATAGTGACCCTACCCAGGGAGAATTACGGTATTCTACCCAGAGAGAATTACTATGGTATCCTACCCAGGGAGAATTACCATTTCCTACCCAGGGAGAATAACTGTATCCTACCTAGGGAGAATTACTATAATGTCCCACCCAGGGAGAATTATGATATCCTTCCTAGGGAGAATTACGGTGTCCTATCCAGGATCCCATCTCCCAAGATACAGAATTGATGTGGGAGAAGCCCTGTCCCTGAGTCACTCCCCATGGACTTTCGAGCCAGGGACAGCTCTGGGCCACCATGGAGGCCTGGGACGAGAGCAGAACTAAACCAAACAGAAAAAATCTGCAGCAACAACAAGATTTGGCTCTGACAATGCGATACCCTCCAGGAAGCCTTGGCCTTGGCCCTGGGGCTGGTCTAGACCCCTCAAATGCCCACTCTCGGGCTCAGGCGCACTTATCTGAAAGCCATGTCTGTTAGTGAGAGGAGGCCTTGTGAGAGGAGGCCCTGTGGTCTCTTCTAGGGTGCTGACCAGGGCACCTGTGAGAAGCCTGCACATGGAGGGGTGTGGTTTTTATGAACCCCAACTCACTTGGTGAGCAGCTCAGCACCTGTGCCCCATGGGGTCCTCTCTTCCACCTGCCGTAGCCCAGGACCTCCCTCCCATCCCCAGGACAGCAGGACCTAGTTTCCCCTTCAGCACTGAGCACCCACATGAATCCAGGGCCCCCCGAGGCGCCCTGTTCTCACAGCAGCGTCTTAATGCGTGGCCGGAACCTTTATGCTGCTTACTTCTTGCTACTTTTCAGGCTTGATGAAAACAAGGGAACATTTCCCTACCCACCGACTAAGCACTAGAACTCTAGGAGCAATGGACTTAGAACTTCTTCAGTATTTAAAGCTCCCCTTTTCAGCTTACAATATAGAATGGAAAGCCAGTACTTGCTGCAGCCCCCAGAGTGGAGATTCTCTACGGAATGACTATTTGGAGAAGGACCTGAATGGCCACTTCTCCCAGAGGCAGCCAAGGGAGAGAAGGAAGAGGCGATGCCATATGGGCTGTGCAGACGGGCTCCAGTGTCTGGGCCTCAGTTTCCTTGTCTGTATTTTGGGGCAGAAATGCCTGCGTCATCGGCTGTGAAAACTGAAAGTGATAACGAGCTATGTACGATGCTTGGCACAGGGAAGGAGCTCTGTGACCTTAGAGCCTGACTTTCACCTTCGTCTGCACTAGGATCCCTGCTGTAGAGCCCAAATTTGAACCTAACAAAAAGTCACCCACCCTTGTGTTCTCCTTCCAATGTTTAGAAACACAGGGATTCATTTGCAGGCTCTTCCGGAGCCCTGGAGGGAAGGGAGCAGTCCCTCCTTTCCTGGGCGTCGGAGCTATGGCTCCATGCTCTGCTCAGGGCTCACATCCAGATTTCATTTCTTAGGATAGGATTTGGATTCATCTTCCTGTTTTTTTTTTTTTTTTTGGGAGACAGAGTCTCTCGCTCTGTGGCCCAGGCTGGAGTGCAGTGGCGCGATCTTGACTCAGTGAAGCCTCTGCCTCCCAGGTTCAAACACTTCTCCCGCCTCAGCCTCCTGAGTAGCTGGGACTATAGACTTGCACGACCATGCCTGGGTAGTTTTTGTATTTGTTGTAGAGAGGAGGTTTTGTCATGCTGGGCAGGCTGATCTCAAACTCCTGGCCTCACGCAATCTGCCTGCCTCAGACTTCCACAGTGCTGGGATTATAGGCGTGAACTGCCACTGCACCCAGCCACCATCTTCCATTTTTAAAAGTGTTGTTTTCTCTTTGTGAATAACCTGGAACAGCTCACCTGCTGGTGACCCTGAAAGCTGCCTTTCTCCTCTCAGCCTTCCTCCTTTGCTCACCTGGATATATCCTAAGAACCCCAATGTTGATGTGTTTGGACAGAATGTAAAACCCACCTCTCCTGGTGGGCTTCTTTATGCGGATGATGATGTGGACGGGGCTCTTGGTGCATCCCAGCCCCTCCCTTTTCAGTGCCTGACTTCCTCCCCAGGGCCTCATCCCCTTCAGCCTACTGGTCACTGCCCTGTCACTGTCCTCATCACCTGCATCAGCTCCTCTTTCGGCTGTCACTGTCACCTCCCGAGTGCGCTTTTGATCCTGCTCTCCAGGCTAAACACCAAGCCTGCACTTCGGTAATTACCCATTTTCCAGCAAATAAAGTTTAACCCCCTTCTAATGAATTGAACAGGACTCCTAAAACAAGTTTCATTTGTAGCTACTCCCACAGGCTTAGACCTGCAGCTGAACTATATACCAAGCTGAACTACTCACTGTCAAATGTGCGCTGATGTTGGTGTTGTTATAACATGTCCTCTAATGCTGTAAATTTGCTTAGAATATCCTTCTCCACACAGCCTCCTGGGGACCTTCACCATCCGTCACCCTGTGGCTCAGCTCCATACGACCTCCTGGGGATCCTCACCGTCCGTCACCCTGTGGCTCAGCTCCATACGACCTCCTGGGGACCCTCACCATCTGTCAATCTGTGGCTCAGCTCCATACAACCTCCTGGAGACCCTCACCATCCGTCACCCTGTGGCTCAGCTCCATACAACCTCCTGGGGACCCTCACCATCCATCGCCCTGTGGCTCAGCTCCATACGACCTCCTGGGGACCCTCACCGTCCGTCACCTGTGGCTCAGCTCCATACAACCTCCTGGGGATCCTCACCGTCCGTCACCTGTGGCTCAGCTCCAT